GCCGCCCCGCCGCCCCGCGCCCGGCTGCCAGCAATCAGCCGCGCGTGGAGGGAGGTACGGGAAATGGGCACGCGCCCCGGCCCGGCTAGGAACCTGCGCGAAGAACGGGGAACCAAAGCCCTGAACGAGGTGGAGGAAAGAAAGCCCAGTAGGTGATTCTCCCGGCACGGTCCCCACCAAGCCGGCGGTGAACAGAACAACCGGATTAAATGTTAGGCCTCCCGATTCTGAATTCTCTGTACCGTCAAGGAAAAGCCTTCACTTCAGCCCCCTCTATCCCACCGCTAGGAATCACACAAGGCATCCTTTTCTTTCTTGGATTTTTGTTGTTGTTGTTGTTTTGGGTTTTTTGCAAGACTGCCACCAGGGCGTTTTTCACCTCCTGGTGTATATATTGGACTTTGTTTTGTTCTACCATTGCCTTGAGTCCTCCGAAAACCATTAACTCCCAGATCAAAATTTGGCTTGCGGGCGCCTGGGTGGCTCAGTCGTTAAGCGTCTGCCTTCGGCTCAGGTCATGATCCCAGGATTCTGGGATCGAGTCCCACATCGGGCTCCTTGCTCCGCAGGAAGCCTGCTTCTCCCTCTCCCACTCCCCCTGCTTATGTTCCTGCTCTCGCTATCTCTCTCTCTGTCAAATAAATAAATAAAAAATTAAAAAAAAAATTTGTCTTGCTACCCTTTGTTCCGTGGCACCTGGCCCCTTGGCCTATTCCTTTTTTACAACCTCTTTTTCAAGAAAGGTGGAGCAGGGCCTTTGTTTTGTTTTGTTTTTTGACCCGCAAGTCTGGGGTATTTTTTGAAGGGCTAACCACGAAATGTTAAGTGCCGTTCTTGTAAAAGGAAGCTCTCTACTTTTAAGAGAATTTAAGAGACCCCCATGAGGTGGGGACAACACACACACATAACTTTTTCCTAAAAATTGATTTTATGGGAATTATAGGTCTCAGAAGATATATCATGAGATGAATTAGACCCAAACTCTTAATTTTCTCTTCCCACATCTGATTCAGTTCCTACCCTTTCCTGCCAATTCCCAGAATGTGAAAATCTATCACCTTATCAAGACCATATGGTACAGGCCTTCCCAAATCACCAGATCCCAAAAATGTGTTGAAAGCACAAAATCAAATGGAGGCATTCAAGCTGTGTCTCAAAAAAATAAATTCAAACCACAACCAAATCCTGGACTTAAAATTCTGGAAGATGAATGACTGGAATGTTCAGTCCAAGGGTTAACAGATCAAAGCTCATTTTTTTTAAATGGCAGACTCCTAATGAAAGGTTTTGGCACTTTAATTGCTTTGCTTTCCAAAGTAGATCTAAATCTGATACAAACCAGGGCAGAGAAAATCTTTTCGAGGACCTGAAAAGGGTGGATCAATAAATTGTTAAAAGTTCCTTCCCAGAAGGGATCTACATCAAGAAAGAACTTTCACCTGGAACCCTGGGGTTAAGGGTCACAGGCTTGGAAATCACCTCCAGGTTATCTTGTAAGCAGAGATGATCATTTACTTACTGTCTTTGACTTTATTCTGGTAGCTACTCCCTCTCTGAACCCTCTGATTTCCATCTCTGTTCATTATATCATTTCTTTTATCAAACATTCTCCATGAAATTGCTCAATATTAGAATAACTAGACTCTTTATCCAATGAAAGAAAAGCATTTGACAGTAAAACTTCAATGCTGAACTGATAGTAAAAACTTGAAGTTTGAATCCAAAACATTCCTTGTTCTTTTCAAAATTCATTTTTACACATCAAAAGGCAATGAATTTTCTTGACACTGATGTTCAATTACTACCACAGAAATTAACTGGTTCCCTTCTAGGGGAAAAAAATAAAATAATAAACTTCACTTAGGTGTTAAGAACTAGGGTTATGACATGACAATATCCCATTTATTTTATACATGCAGTTCAATTAAAAAAAAATCATTGGGAAAAAATAGTTTCTATGAGTCTAAATACAATTAAAGCAGAATCGTCACAAAAGATTCAAACCCTGAGCGACTTCTTCGCTCTCACTCCCCTCCCCCCCTTTTTTTGTAAAATAAAAATAAACAGTTGAAAAAAAAATCACAGAACAGCACATTTTCTAAGGGCCAAAATCCAAGACCTGGGAAGGAAAATAAACAGCATTTTGTCCCTACCTTAAAGCCGCCACTGCCTATTGCCAAGGATTGACGGACTATCCCACCCTACTGCACAGAAAGCACACCAGGAGTTAACTCCCTCACCAGTGGCCTGGCCTGGGGCTACTTCTCTACCGGGAGGACACTTGCTGGTTTAAATTCTCTCTTGAGAATTAACCTCTATTGAGACTGCAAATTAACTCTTTCTGAAAGACTTTCTTTGCACAAAGACAGGCTCTACTAGAGTCAGACCAAATAGATCTGAAAGCTAGTGACTTGATGGCTCTAGAAATTAAATCTTTTGAAGCTTCATTAAATAGCTTAAAAAAAAAAAAGACATCCCAGGGCTCAAGTGAAAATTTCTGAAAAGCAGGGGAAAGGAAAAGATACTTTTAAAGATTTTATTTTATTTATTTGAGAGAAAGGGTGAGAAAGAGCACAAGAGGGGGTAGGGACAGAGGGAGAAGCAGACTCCCCGCTGAGCAGGGAGCCTGATGTGGGACTCGATTCCCGACTCCGGGATCATGACCTGAGCCGAAGGCCATCACTTAGCCAACTGAGCCACCCAGGCACCCTGAATCATGATCTTTAATCAGTAAATTTCTTTCAGCATTAAAATGGAAGAAGAGATACTGAATATATTGCAAACAGAGAAAACTATTAGTTACATTGTCTTCTTCTCTGAACATAATGATGTGGCTGACCCACTGACAAATGAATTTATTTTGTCAGATTAAAACAATTTATGTTCTGAACCCTGGAATAGAGGTGCTTGTGCTGAGCTATACTCCAAGATTCTCTTTTAAGACCAGTGAAATGGGTTGCTGCAGCTAGGAATGCAGACTGTGGTTGGGGAGCCAAGTGGTTTTCTGATTAAACCATGGCCTTGGCCTCACCAGCCACATCCTCCAACCCACTAAACCCAAAACCCAGAGAGTTACATATAATGATGCAAAGGTATTCGTCCTTCCATGTGAGAAGATAAAGGAACATACACATATCCAAAAACAGTTTCCCTGGTAGAGTAAGAGAATTCTTTATTTCAGTTAAATGACAACATTTATGTGAACTCTAAAGAGCAAACCATATGTTAACATGTCTTAGTATTGCCAAATGACAAAATTACTGAGTAGCAAATCATTTCTGACTGCATCCACAAGGCTATAGTTATACAATTTAAATATTCCAGACCACGTTTATCCCTGTCTACACCATGGTGACCCACCTAGAAAGCCCCAGATCTTGACACTAGGAACTCTAACAAAAAAGAGCAGATGAGCTTGAGTGCCCTGTATCTATCACATGTTTTTGAAACCAAGGCATTGCCAGAAATGAATTTTCATATGACCTAACTACATTCCCTCATAGTCAACTTGTCATTATCTACATGTGCTTAGGCTCTTTGTGGATTTTACTCAGTAAATTTAATCCTAATCTAGTTAGCCATTCTTGTCAACAATCTATGGTTTTGGAAGGCCTCCTCCACCAACTGCAGTTGGTGTGTGCCAAGGGAATGCAAGCTAATTTTACCTAAGCTAAAGCAAAACATAATTAGGAAATTAAATCTGCTAGGTAGGATGCAAGCCAAAGCCAAACATAAATATATCATTATAATCACTCCCAGCCCCTTTTAACACCACCTTTAGCTGGAGACTGCATTTGGTCATTCAATGCTAAAGTGATGTCCAAATAGAAGGTTTTATTAAAGAGTTAAAGGTACAGTAAGAACATTATTCCCCAATCCAGTCACTCAGAACAGGAACTCCGGCTAATTGAGGACAATGAAGCAATGTTGATTCAGTTCTATTGAATGTTTTTAAAATCTTAAACCATTACTTGTTAATTTCAACGCTTATCTGCAGAAGTCATTTACTAAAGTAAGTTCTAGTACAAAAGATGTTTTAGTGCAAAACCATTATGGAAAAACAATTTTAACAAAGAAATCTGGCCCACTGCTGCCCCTCATCCACCTGAATTGGAAATGGATCTGAATATTTCCGTTTATTCAGCCTCATTAGCAACCCCACAAGCCTGCAGTATGTAGTTACAAGGCAACCACTAAGGCAGGGGTGTTTATACCATTAGGCATCAATTATAACAAGCTTTATTTTTCTTAGAAAGTTTAAAAACTTTATAAATAGGTTGTGAGATCAGACCCTTTTCTCATCTGATTAGGAGTGTAGAGCTAGCTATAAAACCAAAGCTGACATTTTCTTTTCACTATGCAGTATGTGATACTCAATTCAAAAGGAAATGTAGTGTTTGAAGAATTAATAAGAACAAAATATTGATGCCCTTCAACTTTAATAGATATGCAGGTGGTATTTATGATCCATGCAGTGATGATTTACTTATGATACAAAATACAGGAGAAAAGACATGAATGTGTAAGTCTCCCATGTAAAAATGTGAAATAAGCCACATACATCAACATTTTCCAGGCAATCATAATCAATTAGCCGTACACTAAGTTAATAGAGTTTCAAATGGCTTTAGAATTTTTTTTTATGATTTATTTATTTGAGAGAGAGAGAGAGCTTGAGTGGGAGGGGCAGAGGGAGAGGGAGAGAGAATAATCTCAGGCAGACTCAGCACTGAGTGTGAAGCCCAACGCAGGGCTCCATTACAGGACCCAGAGATCACAACCTGAGTAGAAACCCAGTCG